CCGCGGCTCGGCCAGCGCCGAGTCTGGGACGTGCCTGAACAGCCACTCTGGCCCAGCTGAGGTGTGATAAAGTCTTAAGCTGACCTACTTTATCATAGACCCATAGGTCTGCAGAAATTGTATCTAGAATAAATTCATCATTCCAGGACTATACCCACAAAGCACCCTACAGGTCTTCAAAGTGGACACATTTATTTAAAGAATGAACCGTAGATCAGTGACTCCTCTACTGATTCTTTTTCAAAAACCATTACTGTTCAGCTGAGATGGGGCTAGAACCAGCCCCCAGGGCTGATATGTTATGCACATCCTCTTTCACTTAGCTTATCTCCAACAAGTTTTTACAGAACAAGGGTGTCGGTGACAGAAGGTGCAGCAGTGCCAGCTCACTCCACGTGGACCTCTCCAACCTTGTGACCTGGGCACACAGTCATGGAGCCATATGCAGCCAAATCCCAACCTTGGAAACTGCACAGACCATGGATCATCCTCATAAGGAAAATTCTGTTCTGTGGATATGTGGAGGTGGACACGCGTATTACTGGCATTGTGGAAAATTAGATATGAGAAACAGGGAAGAGAATGAAGGTGTAAGAAAGAGGTCAGGATCTGCTGAGGCTTCATCAAGGAAAGCTGATTTATATGAAAAGAGGTTCAGGATGACCCCATTTTTTGAGAGGGCTAAAGCAGACGCTGCTAGCACAGAGTCATGCAGCAGATACCCAGGCGTCACGCAGAGGGATGACACAGTCTATATGATAAATAATGAATCACCAGCAGAAGAAAATAAAATGAAAAGCAAATCCATGAAATCACGTGTTACAGCAGAGGAGCATTTGGCAACATCTGGTAGCGCAGTCAACACTGACAGTCTTAAGGTGACATTTGAAAGTGAGGAAGACCTACACATCATGTCTCAGGAACAGCAGCACACATCAGATGAAGATGACCAAGGCCACAGAATCAAACAGAATATTCTCTCAGAACTGCCAGAAGATGCAGCTGCTGCAGTAGATTTGCAAAGCCAGAACAGTCAGACAGTGGCATTTAACCAGCCAACAGCCACCCAAACATCTAGCTTTGACCCCACCAGAAAGCCCCCCATGACTCCTGCCTGCATTCCAAAATCCTCTGCCAGCAATCAAAAGAGCCTTGACAGCAGCCCCTTGAGTCTGGGTTCCCCTAATGCTGCAGGGCCCGTAACACAAACTTCTGCAGCAAGAAATTCCCCAGAGTCAGCAATACCAAAAGAACATTTCAAATCTGATTGTGCCTCCAAAACTGAAGCAGAGTCCCAACGCGAGTCACCCACCCCTGCGACATTCTTTGAGTTTGACACCACTGTGGATGTCAAGCAGCAGCTCCAGCTGAGCCCTTTGGAGCATGGCACTCCAGGAATGGGCTCAGGTGGGACTGCTCCTGAGCCCTGTGCTGGGGAGGCTGAGCCACCAGGACCCGAGTGCACAGCTCACCCTTCCTCCTCAGTGAGCCCAGGGAGCGAGAACGGCAACCACCCACCCGCCTCCTCGAGCACAAGTAAGGGTCTGACGTTTGCTTCTGGAGGGGTTTGTGGGTGTGTGGGTGCATTCTATTCATCACTTTCCCAAGATATTAAAGGAGAGCCAGATCATATAGCTGCCAAAAATCTGTGTTGTAGCATCAAAGCAAACGCCTCTGATTTGGGGCACTCTTGTTTGTACTAAAAGGGACTAAAATGGTTCCTGCCTTAAGCAGTCGGCACGTCAGTAAATAACACGCTCACCGAGGCACCCACTGGGCTGTTGTTTTGCCAACGACCAGGCCCAACAAAAATGATACCACCACCAGCAGGAAGATGAACCAATACACAGACTGTATTGTAGACAAGAAGGACATTGCATGAATGATCACTGGGGGTACAAACAGATCAATCAGCTGGTACATAATTGACACCACCCCCAACGATCCCACAAAGGGTGTAACTCAGCCCACAACAGGTGGTACAAACAGAGACCCGAGGTTGCCCACAGCTGGCATGGGAAACAGCCAGAGCAGCAAGCTGAACACATCAGAGAAAGGTGCCCACATGGTGACTCTCACCCGATTGGCCTGTGTTTGCAAAGGTCTTGAGCAGACTGGGGCCCAGCTCCAGGAGAGTCAGGAGATCCTCCCTGAACCAGGCAGCTCTGTGGAGTGCCCCTCCGTGCCGCCCTGCCAGTGGTCCCAGCTTTTATCCCCCAGCACACACCTGACCTCTGTCAGCTCAATGCAGGACCCCTGGGGCTCGTTTACCTTCTGGCTCTCCCTGCAGGGCCGGCCGCACCCTGGGGGCAGCTGAAAGGCAAACTCACCCCTCTGGATGAAGGGCTGTGGGAATCACCCATATGGCAACCTTAATTCAGGGCTAGGGGTTCAGACCCCAGCATTTCAGCTGTGGCCCAGCCTTAACTACCCATTAATGAAAGACCACTCTGGTCTTTCATTTTACTGATACCACCACACAGTGCGTTGGCTGGACTGGAGAGAGGGACCCCGTGAGACACCAGCCAGAGGTGGGGACTCGGCTCTCCAGAACACAGGAGCAAGTAACTTTAAAAGCAGCAAAACAGAGAAATAGTGAGTGAAGCTCTGGCTGCACCAAGGCAGTGGTGAAAATCTCTGAGATCACAACAGGAGCAGAGTTTCAGTCCTGCAGATTCCATTACATGAGCTAAACAAATTGCTTTAGTACTTTTAAAAGTTTTTTTAGGATTTTCATACATGCTGTCCTTGAAATCCTACTGGAGTGGGGAGAGTTACAATTGCTCCAATGTTAACCTTGAGCACTTGCAACTCTTGCTGCTTGCTTGGGAACTTTCAACACCAAGGAGGAGTGACAGATGCTGTCCACACAAGCAGTTAATGGTTGGACTTGATGATCTTAAAGGTCTTTTTCAACCCATTCTGTGATTCTAAGAAGGAAGTGCTGACAAACAGCGTGTGGACACGATCAAAACTGTGCCAGTCCTTGCAAATAGTGGGGAAGCCATCGATGAAATCAATGTAGTTCAGTTACTAAATGATCATATTTTAGGACAGATGCAGGCAATACACAGGAGACTTACTGCCAGATACCTATATATTATTTAATCTAATCATTAAACACCTCAAAGAAAATGCAAATCTCCAGGTTTTTAAAGATGTTATAGTAAAGCCACAAAATTTGCATCTGTAATGGTTTGAGTGCCTGCAGGTGCTATGTCCCACCAGCTCCCTGCCCAGCCCATTTAGGGGTTTCTCTGGCAGTGTCCTTCGAAAAAAAAGAGGTTACCAAACCAGTCTGGTGGGGTTTGTCTGTGCAGGGCGGGTGCACACCTCGAGCACCAGAGTGGGGGCTGCAGGCCCCCTGCTCCTCACGGAGCCACAGCCAGCAAACCGGCACGGCCGGGCAGGTGGGAGAAGGGCAGGCTGGAGCTGGTGGCTCTAGAGCCCTTTCCAGTCTGCCCCTCTTCAGCCCTGGAAAAGTCACAGGCGAGCAGATGGAGCTTTTCAGCAATCCAAAGAATTAATTTCTCATGCTACAGCAAACTAGGTAGAGGTGGTATTGCCATAGCAACTGGAGAGCACCCAACTGGAATCCTGGCAATCCTTAAGAACAAAAAAACAAAACACTTTTACTCATCTTTTTGTTCTTCATGACTACCCACCCCCAAGTTCTGGTTAGTGCTTTTATTGCACTGTGAGAGCTCTCTTGCTCAGAAGAAATTTTTATGAAGATGCTTTGAATTATATTTTGCATAATGCCTTGTACAACACTTCAGACATGGGGAGTGGGTGCAGCATGGTCCTGAGGCAGATCACAAGGTCCCTGGACAGCCCAGCTCCATCTGCTTTCACAGAGCAGAGTTCAGCCCCCTGCAGTCACCATAAAACACACCCCAGAGCAGCTGCAGAGCAGTGGAAGGACACTGAGTCCATCGGGGCTGCTTGCGGGCTGCAGCGACAGCTCTGCGGCCGGGCCCACGAGCGTGGTCCTACAGGACACACCCCAGGCACACACGGGGTCACCTCCAGAGCAGCTGGGGTGAGGTTCAGTGTCCAGCCAAGCCAATAATGACACGTCCAGTCTCCTGGCCCATTGAACCTGCACCAACGCTTTCCACACATGCACCCCAACAACGGTCTGTGATCACGTCTCCTCAGGAATTAATTCCCATTAAATCATAATTCAAAAAAGAAAAAATAGCTTTAATTTACCAACACGGTACGTGCAGATTCAGAGCTCACCATGAGACAGCAGCAGGGGCAGGTGAGGGGACAGTCCTGAGCTGGAGCGTTAGAGGGAGAGGTTTGTGAGAGTCCTGAGATCTCTGAATTACTTTTAGAAGCAAGGTGAAGGTTATTCTGCATCTCCTGATGTGTCACTGATCTCCTTGTAAGTCAAACCAAAACAATTCTATCCCTGCTGTCCACCAAGCTTTGTCTTGTCTTTCAGGTGAGTTGGAGCAGTGGAATAAAAAGAGAAGCCGTAAGCGTGGCAATATAAAAGCTTTCAAGGACTGGCTGGTTCTACATCACCCTGCCGAGCTGCGCGAGATCCACACGCTGCCCCCCCAGGACCTCAGCAGTTACCTGGCCTTGTTCTACAGCTCTGCAAAGAGCCAGAACGGGGCAGACTTCTCCAGCAACACGCTGCACTTCTTTCAGCTCAGCATAGAGCATTATCTCAAGGACCACAACTACCAGTACAGCACGGTTAAAGGGGTGGAGTTCAGGGCAGCTCGGGAAGCCTTGAAGCTGAGGCAGCAGCAGCTATCTCAGAAAGAACGAGAGGGCAAGTGGGGTGTTTTGGAGAGCCTGACGGAGGAAGATGTGGACAGTCTGTGCAGGAAGGAAATTCTGTGTAAGCAGCACCCCGAGGGCTTGTTGAGCCTCATGCTGACGCACATCACCAGGGGGTTCGGGGCACGCACCCACAGCGGGGGCCGCACTCTGTTCTGGGGCCAGCTCACGCTGAGAAAGGCCGAGGGGGAGCTGGAGTGGCTGGAGTGGAAGGATGAGCTGGGCGCAAGGGCCGGCGCAGGGGAGCAGGGTCCACGTCTCCTGGCCAGGCCCCACGCCCCCGAGGGCTGCCCGGTGGCGGGTTACA